GCACATTAATACTGACTGACATTGACATCTTTTGTTAAATTTTTTGATATCGATTTTGTAAAGCAAGAAATTAACAATTCTGCTCGAAGTTCGAAATTTTCCCCTGAATTCCTTCGGTTTTAATTCCGTTAGTGTATCTGATTTCTGCTTAACGTAAACTCTCCATAGATTAGTGATCAAAAACAGCATGATTTTTGAGATTCTAGCACTTTTGTTATATTGTCGGAATCTCAAGAATCTTTTGTATCTGAATTGCCATCATCTTTTGCCATCAGTTTCCTTATAAGCAATGCATAGAAAAGGGAGTCATCGACAGCCTTGCCAGCGGGGCCTTGCTGTTGGCGTTTGCTACCACTCCGACTACTTTCCGAGTGTCTCCCCCTCTCATTGATAACGAAATATGGAGGGAGTTTTGATTTTTGTCTAGAATATACTTTTTCAAAATTCAAAATTGGACCACAACAGCAAAGGCTTCTTCCCTTTTCGCTATCGCAAAATTTTATTAGCTTGAGAAAAATGGCAGATCCAACGTCGATAATTAAACAGCGGAGCATCGATTTACAGTTAAAATTTTTTGCATTCCCAATAGTAGACACAATCACTCTCAACAGTAAACACAAGCATTCCGAAGTGTCCCGGAAAAGCGCATTCTCATCAGCAATTAACTCTTGCTACAAAGACTGTCAGTGTTATTTTATTTCAAGTTTTTTATTATTATTACTATTATTATATCTTTATTTCCATTTTTTTAATATACGAAATGAAAATGGTTTTGACTCTTCTACATGCACCAATAAAGTCGGCCACCGAACCGTATCGAGGAATCGTGGGGGTACTAAATTTTCGGGGGCACATTCGAACTGTCGATTCGAGCTTCAGAATGAATGCTTACTACAAAACGCATACAATTATTAAAAACTGTTACAAATCCGGCATTCGATAGACAGTGATTGTGTGAGCCTGAGTGGAAAGAGCAAATGAGACAAGCAACTGATGAAAGCGCATTGAGACCAGATTTCCGGTGCGACCACCAGGCAGCCATTCATCCTGATGAAGCTCGCTTAACTGATTACCTCGGATATCGAAGAGCCGAACTGCGCTTCCATCGTCCACACAACCAATGAACTAAAAATGAGCATTGTTTTAGGGAAATTTTTTGCTAGCTCACAGTAAACTACCCTATTACAAAACTGTTCAATTTATCGATTTAATTAAACAAGGCAATCAAATTATGGACACAACAAGTAATGAACAGGTGAGCAATTAGATTTTTCTATTTCATAAGATTATACCTTTTTATTCTTACTTTTTCTCCTATCTCTTTAAGAGTTTCCATTTCTTCTATTCATTTCATTTCTTCCAATTTCCATCTTTAACATCATTTATATCTTTTTCATCTTACTTAATTTTTATTCTTAACTAAATTATTGTTACCACAGTCGTCGTACTGACGAGGTCCAACGGTGGTAGCGGTAAGAAATGTATACGACTTAATAGACCGAAACATTTCTTACCTAATTTAATACTTCTTTTTTCCATCCTTCCTTCCTTACCTTTTCCATCATCCTTTTTTAAATTTCTCCATCATCATTCTTATATTTTTCTTTTAACCTTAAATACATTTACCACGGGAAAAGAAAGGGAAGTGACTTTCAGCTAACAGAGACAACGAGTGGTACAAAAATCATGCCACAATTATCGCAAATTGGGCGGAATTATTGACTTGCAGCTTCAAAATTTACTGCCTGCGCCAACAGCTTGCTTGTAAGCAGCTCTCCAAAAAAAAAACAATCATTGAAAGGTTTTCCAGCGAGTAATTACTGTTTGCACCGCTACCAGTTGGGCCATTTTCCAATTGCCTTTCATCTTCTCCGTCTTTCACAGACAGCAAATACATAAGGGCTTTGGTTTTCAATTTTGATAATTGATTATCAAATTAGCCTATTTCTACTTTAGTATACCCCTTAACTTAAAATTATCCTCCAAAAATACATTAAAATGAACAGTGGTGTCAAATCGATAACCGATGCCAGTATTTGCTTTTTGTGGGATAAAATAAACAGTGCAAAACAAATATACATTTTTCTGAGATTATTTTCGAGATCCGCTGAATTTAGAAGTTTCAAACAGAGCTACGAGCTATTGAATAGCCAACATTTCAGTTTTCCTGTGAACAAAAACAGACCAACAAATACATGTTATATGTGAGGAACATTAAGAAGCCCTCATTATATACAAAAAAATTCATGTTTCTGTGAACAGTCTTCATGTGTATCTATATAAATGAGAGGGTATATTAAAAACGCATACCTGGCCATGAGTGTGTACTTCCATACATGTCAGTTTTCGGCCTTTTGTTGCGTCACATGCATTGAAACTTGCTACTGGCTCCTGTAATTCTATCACAAAACGTAGAAGGTATTACAAATCGTTAAAATTAGAAGCCGCTGATGAAGGACTTCAAATTTATTTAAGTTTCTAGGGAAAATCGTAATGTCTGTTAAGCTTAAGAATAATTTGATTTACGTATTTTATGAAGTCACAACAAGACAAATCGGTCGAAACGAAAGCACTAATCGAATTGTTTCCAATTCCTACACTTTTAAAGTGACACTAATAACTCATTTTAAAGTTGATACCTCATTTTTTATCACTGCGATAACGCCACTGAAAATGGAAGAGGCACAACAAATTGCTCGCCTAACAACCAGTGGTCATCGCATCTCAATGAGGGGGCATTCGCGATAAAGTAAATGACTACTCGGTCGACCCTCTAGAAGGCAATGCACATACATCGAACAAGCGGCAGGTACTAACTAGAGATATGGAGTTCAGTTAAACAGCCTTGCAAAAATGCGCCCGAAGTGTAGGAATATCACAATAAGCCGATTGTAGCATTCAGATAGATCTTGGATGTCGAAGTGTCGAAGACGTATTAAATCCAGAAAGCAAGAAAGAATGAGGAAAGGGGGCAAGAACGAGATAAGACGTTTCGGTCCACTGAGTCATATACGTCTTAACTCAACACTGCGACAGGATCTTGTCAGCATGAGGGTCGCAGTGCTTAATGGAAAAGGAAAAGAAAAGAAATTGAAAAAGATGCAAGGAAAGAAACGGAAGGGTTGTGACTGTGGGATTTGGGGGTGAGGATAGGGTGAGGAAGGAAAAGTTAAAAAGGAAAACAAGATTTAAAAAAGGACTTAAAAGAAATTCAAAAAAAAAAAAAAAATATTTGGAAAAGATAACACTATTAATGTCAGGCGCCCACAATGACCATTTCTTTCAAGACTCCCTCTGTATTAGTAATAAATGTTAAAAGGTGTTTTCAAGCAATCTGGATGAATAAGTCTACAAAATCCTTTCCCGCCGATCAAAAAAATGACATTTTCGAATAAGTTACAAGTAGAACAAAATAATATAGCCAAGACCGCCCTTTGTATTTTGTCTATGAGATGTTGTGAGGCTCTGAAACAGCCCCAACATGTACCAATAGCAATCAACTATTGCTGACGCTTGCATCTCCCAAAAATTGCTTAAAAGCAAGCGACTAGCGCTAGCTCCTTGGCATTATCCAATACCAATTTACTACTAAAACAAGTGAACAAATCGTAGCGGGACCGGATGTTATACTCCAACACGAAACAGCCCACCTGCCGTTGCCTTTTGCTCGTTGTAATGGCAAATGCAACACAGATGCTTTTCAGAATGCTAAATATGGGCGTTACCGTTCATTCTTGAGCAGCTAAACTGGTCTTATGACGAAAACAACAGAGAAAAGCAGAATTTTGAATAACAGCCATACGAAAAAAAAAAACTGAGAAATTTGCTTAAACTTCGGTTCATTCTCAGCTGAGCAGAGCAAAAATGACAGCACAAAATACAATGATGAAATGACTTCTCAAACTAGCAAAACCCAGTAATGACCAAAAAAAACACACCTTGAACATTCGTGGTTCCCACAAGTGCACCTCGCCATTTCTCGCACCAGCAACAAGCCTCAAAACTCCTTCAGATGACTGACCGGGAACATTTGAGAAAAGCGACAATCCAACAACAGGCCCTTCCAGCTCACGTAATGACATCGTACGCCGTGATCTCGGTGGCAGTCGTGGATCATACATGTTAACCAGACCGTCGCTTAATCCTAAACATACAATTCTGTATTGTAATTTTCTTTGGAAACAGCAGTTCAACGCCCCGGAATTGTAAATCCAACAAAGAAAAACTTTAGCAGCGTGCATGAAAAATTCAAGCCATTAATGAAAAGCTAGTTTTTGAATATAAATGGGTAACAGAAGATGCAAAAAGTCAGTTAAAATTCTGTGAAAAAATCATGCCTCATTGCAAGTACCATTCAACCAGCAGTAG